CACGAAGCTCAATGGGACCCACCGCCAGTTCCTTACACGGTGCATCGGCTGGAGCAAGCGGAAACGCTCAGACCGCCCCCTGTCCTATGCCCAGGCCCTCATCCAGGCAGGCTGCGAGGAAACCATTGAGGCCACCGTGCGCAAACGGAGACTGTGTTTCGCCGGCTTTGTTATGCGCATGGACGACAACCGCCTCCCCAAGCCCATGCAGTTAGGAGCGATGGCTTGGGGCGTGGGATACCGGGGCGGGCAGGAGAGCGACTGGGTGTCTCGTTTAGGAGAGGACCTCGTGGCCTTCAACATGGGAGACGAAAAGGAAGGCGGGAAATGGAAAGAGAGGGCCAAGGACCCGGCGGTGTGGTGCAACAAGGTCGAGGACGGGGCGGCATGGTTCATGAGGAAATGGCGCAGGCAGGAGGCGGAAGTGTCCTCGAAGCGCCAGCGCGCGAGGGAAGCAGAAGCAGCGAGTACGGCCATCTCGGGAGCGAAGAGAAAGTGAGCCGGTGAAGCGGCGGTGGGGGAGAAGGAACGGCGACTGGGCACTGCTGTACAAACGAGTAGGGCGACCGAGGCAGCTCTTGTGGCGCACTATGTACCCGACTGATGTTGTTGCGCCATGTTTCCTTCCCTGCTGTATGCTATACTGCTTTACGTATGTCCTTTGTATTGCCTTCGGCTTCTGTGCTGTGTTTCTTTTTCTCATGTCCTCCCTGCCTTCTCTGCTGTGTTGGGTACCTTGATCTCGCTTTTACTATTGCGTTTGTTTTTGTATGTCTGGCTGTCTGCCTAACTGCCGCCTCTTTGCCCTGTTGGCTCCGTTGCTCCCATGCCCTGGTGCGTAGTGCCTCGTGCTGGTACGTTACCCTTTGTTTTTTTTCTTTGGGCGGGTGTGCGAAGCGTTTTCCTTTATTTTTGTTTTTCTCTAATTTTGATCGGTTTCCGAGGGCTCTTTTCTCGAACGCTCGGTGCGATACCTGTTCTTTTCTTTCTATCATTTTGTTTTCTTTTTCCGAGTGGCTGGTACCCTATTTTTTTTTGTTTCCCCGCGCCGTCGTATGTGCCGGGTTTTGAGACCACGGGCTCCCCATTTT